CATACCTAATACTATTGGTACCAAGGTATATATTACATCTATCTCCATGCCTAATACTTTTGGTACCAAGGTATATATTACATCTATTTTCATACCTAATACTACTGGTTCTAAGGTATATATTACATCTATTTTCATATCTAATAGTATTGGTACCAAGGTATATATTACATCTATTTTCATACCTAATACCATTGGTTCTAAGGTATATATTACATCTATTTTCATATCTAATAGTATTGGTACCAAGGTATATATTGCATCTATTTAAATAACCAATACTATTGGTACCAAGGTATATATGACATCTATATTCATACCTAATACTTTTGATACCAAGACACATATAACATCTATTTCCATACCTAACACTATTGGTACCAAGGTATATATTACAACTATTTTCATACCTAAAACTTTTGATACCAAGATATATATTACATCTATTTTCATATCTAATAGTATTGGTACCAAGGTATATATTACATCTATTTTCATACCTAATACTATTGGTTCTAAGGTATATATTACATCTATTTTCATATCTAATAGTATTGGAACCAAGGTATATATTGCATCTATTTCCAAATCTAATACTATTGGTACCAAGGTATATATTGCATCTATTTAAATAACCAATACTGTTGGTACCAAGGTATATATTACATCTATTTCCATACCTAATACTATTGGTACCAAGGTATATATTACAACTATTTTCATACCTAAAACTTTTGATACCAAGATATATATTACATCTATTTCCATACCTAATACTATTGATACAAAGGTATATATTACATCTATTTCCATACCTAATACTATTGGTACCAAGGTATATATTACAACTATTTTCATACCTAAAACTTTTGATACCAAGATATATATTACATCTATTTCCATACCTAATACTATTGATACAAAGGTATATATTACATCTATTTCCATACCTAATACTATTGGTACCACGGTATATATTACATCTATTTCCATACAGATACCTAATACTATTGATACAAAGGTATATATTACATCTATTTCCATACCTAATACTATTGGTACCACGGTATATATTACATCTATTTCCATACAGATACCTAATACTATTGATACAAAGGTATATATTACATCTATTTCCATACCGATACCTAATACTATTGATACAAAGGTATATATTACATCTATTTCCATACCTAATACTATTGGTACCAAGGTATATATTACATCTATTTCCATACCGATACCTAATACTATTGATACAAAGGTATATATTACATCTATTTCCATACCGATACCTAATACTATTGATACAAAGGTATATATTACATCTATTTCCATACCTAATACTATTGGTACCAAGGTATATATTACATCTATTTTCATACCTAAAACTTTTGATACCAAGATATATATTACATCTATTTTCATATCTAATAGTATTGGTACCAAGGTATATATTACATCTATTTTCATACCTAATACTATTGGTACCACGGTATATATTACATCTATTTCCATACCGATACCTAATACTATTGATACAAAGGTATATATTACATCTATTTCCATACCGATACTAATACTATTGATTTAAAGGTATATATTACATCTATTTCCATACCTAATACTATTGGTACCAGGGTATATATTACATCTATTTTCATACCTAATACTATTGATACCAAGGTATATATCACATCTATTTCCATACCTAATACTATTGGTACCAAGGTATATATTACATCTATTTCCATATCTTAATACTATTGATACCAAGGTATATATTACATCTATTTCCATATCCAATGCTATTGGTTCTAAGGTATATATTACATCTATTTCCATACCTAATACTATTGATACTAAGGTATATATTACATCTATTTCCATATCTTAATACTATTGATACCAAGGTATATATTACATCTATTTCCATATCCAATGCTATTGGTTCTAAGGTATATATTACATCTATTTCCATACCTAATACTATTGATACTAAGGTATATATTACATCTATTTCCATATCTTAATACTATTGATACCAAGGTATATATTACATCTATTTCCATATCCAATGCTATTGGTTCTAAGGTATATATTACATCTATTTCCATACCTAATACTATTGATACTAAGGTATATATTACATCTATTTCCATATCTTAATACTATTGATACCAAGGTATATATTACATCTATTTCCATATCCAATGCTATTGGTTCTAAAGTATATATTACATCTATCTCCATACCCAACACTATTGGTACCAAGGTATATATTACAACTATTTCCATATCTAATACTATTGGTACCAAGGTATATATTACATCTACTTCCATACCAATACCCAAAACTATTGATACTAAGGTATATATTACATCCATTTCCATACCATACCTAATGCTG